TAAAATTGGAGTGGAAGTCAGCAATAAGCTGTTCAGTGTCTGAGTCTGAAATGTTGTTAATGCAGAACTGAGATTCCAGATGCTGATATGCAAAGTGCGTCTTAAGAAAACTAGATAAATCAAAATAATTTTCATTTTTCAGCATGTCTGCATAATTTCATAGCTTTTTAATTTCATAGCATAAAGATTCTGTGTCAGAAAAAGTAATTTAGCATTTTTACCATATTTTATCTTTATGAAATCATAATGAAAACTGTACAATAAGAGTCTTACTAATGTCTAGTACAGAACATCCAACATATATGGGTCGATTTAATTTAAGAGATGTTTTCTTCATATTTACTGCTGCAAAATCATCATTAAAAATCGTAAAACCTTTAACGCGGGAGATGCTACAAGATTTTTCAAGAATTTTTCATTATTTACCAATCGTATATCAACACGATTTCTCAAATTTTCTGTCATCTTCCCAAGCACAGAATTGTTCATTAATTTGAAAAAGTCTTTCTCGAAATCGTTTTTAGCTAGTTTACGTTGTTCTGTGTTGAATTCTATATACGGTTTCATCCATGGGTCTTGCTTGAATTAAATAACTCTATGAATTTTTTTCAAATCTATTCCCAACTTAACATATTGTTTCAGATTTTTTGAATGCAGTACATACATTTTCTTATCATATAAGTTAGGAACAAGTTTCATAGCATTTCCAGGAAATAACCCATTCAGACTTTCAAGCATCTTTTTGCAATAAGATGAAAGTATATCAGGATTGATTTTTAAATGTTCCGGTGCTAGAGGATAATCACTATGCAGTTTATGAAGTTGCTTTGGGTATTCCAAATCTACTTCTAATAAATAACCATATTTTCCATTATCATCAATATCATCAACTTTAAATAATTTTACTTCCTCTTCAGATAACCATCGAAATTCACAGGTTGGAAGTAGTTTAACCATGGCCCCAACCGTGTAAATTATTAGCGTCTAAGTATATTATGTATTTAGAGTCACCCACTAGAATAGAATTGTTCACATATTTATTGTTGGCTTTACTGAAACGATTAACAATAACACTTACGCCCCCGCGCAAGGATTTTTCAAAAAATAAATGCATATCTGGATCAGTTAAAAGTTCTAATTTAACTCCAGTCATCTTTAAACAAGCTTGCCAAGCAAATCCAGGAGCTGTATAGACATGACAAGGGTCGATCTCATAATAATTCAAGCAAAGATTTCTAAAGTTTTCGAAATTACAGGCGTTTTCATATACAAATCATGATATTCTCCTAAATTTTTAAGATCAAACGTTTTCCACACATTTTGAGCGTGGTCATAATCACTTTCTGAAAGTATTTCATTTGTTAGATCGTTGAAAAAAGCATCACGGTGGGGGAACTTTTCTTCCTCAAATTTTTCATGACAATCAATGTAATTGTATGGATAAACACCTTTTCGCAACAAAAGGCTTATTTCCTCACTGTCTTTGCTGTCATCTTTCAGGATATGAAATTGTTCATTTTCAAGATTTCCAGCCAGTTTTTCCAGTAATGTGGACAAAAACTGGAAAGAATCCAGAAACTGTAGTTTTGCCATAGAAAAAAAAATGTAACATATTGCTCCATATTTTGTGCAATGCAGTTGATTTTTTATGCTTCATTTTACCAAGTCCTTGCATGATTAGATGTCCATATTAGTTCTTTATGCCATGAAAAATAACTGGAATTTTTTTAGATAATTTAAAATTCAGATTACCTCTTCTGTGCGCTGCTACGCGATACTTGCCCGTAATGTGGTCATGATCTCGAACACGTTCTTTGCCTAAAGTCTTTGTACATATGTGACAAACTTCAGTTTGCTGAAAAAGAACTTCCTCCTCGAAAGATATCTCCATTGGTCTTTTATTATTTAAAATATCACTTATTAATTGCTCTTCCTTAAGCATATCTTGAAGAAAGTGATCCACAACATCATCTCCTCTGTAAACTACAGGATCTTCGAACGTTCTTCCATCAGGGCCTATAACAACATAGCAATACCCGCATGGAATGTGATGAGACATAATTACCGAATGAGAAGTGTTATGGTCATTTATACATATGTTGGCTTTAACGATGAATGATTCAAAATCCGCGTATATTACAAAAGGTATTTTCAATTGAAATTCATACTTTTCAAACTGCAACCATTTTTCTTTTCTGAAGCATAACGATTTTCTGAAGGCCGTGAGTTTGACAATTTTGTATATGAGACGTCAAAATATTCTGCTTCGAAAACCGATGCAAACAGTAGGGACAATAAAAGGCAACTCCATTATGCTTCGTCAGGGAACTTAAAAGCCTACTAATATTTTTTATGTAGCAATAATGCCTTTTTTCATCCTCACTCAAAAGCAGAAGGTTCACATGAATGCTGTTCACATTTTTTGTAATATGCAATGGGAAAACTTCTTTTTCAAAACCGAACACATTGACAGATATACCATTCATCCTTTCAAATTTTTCAATTTGATGCAGAGGCAACGGGAAATCAAGCCCATCAAACTGTAGCTCCTCCATATACTGTTCATACTGTTGAAAACGTTGAGCATTTGAAAGCAAAGGATGAATTGCTGCTAAAATGGACCATAAGAAGCAAATTTGATCATTATTTTTAACATTAATAACAGCTCCCTTAATTAAAATTTCTTAAGGTGTGGGTATATAACTAGATGCAGAAAGCGGCTGAAATTTAGCGACATTAACAATTAAACAGATTATGGAATTCAGTACCCATCCACTTCCTTTTCTTTCAAAGCTTGACATAACCTTCACCAAGATTACTTCTGAATTCAGATTCTGGTAGACTAACAAAACATTCACTTCTAAAAAATGAGATGCAGTATTCAAATTCGTTGATGGAGCTACGTCTCTGAAAACGTGCTTCAAGTGTCGCATACCATTTAATGCTTCTTTTTTCCTCTGTTTCGGAAAGTAAAATCTGCTCTACTTCATCTATTGAATTTTGTAGAAATATATTCCCATCCCCGTTTTCATTATCCTTCGGATTTATCCGATGAACAACTAAAGTATCATTCAGAGCTTTAGTGAAATTGCATGGATTTTCAAAATGTATTTCAGAGTCAGACATGAGCCTTCAACGTTTCAACGAATCTCGGTCACCAGCCTTCCACTGCTTATAAGGAACGCATGATTTCTGATGTTGTTTACAATGATCCTTTCTAGAAAATAACTTTCCGCATTTATTACAGGAAAATAGTTTACTATCACCATGTACAGTCGCCATATGATGAACGCGATGGCTATTTCTGTGAAACAAGGCATCGCATTCTGCACAAGGGACAGATTTTGTGTCATGTGTTTTCTTGTGTCGCACTAAAATTCGCTCCAAATGTTTTCTTGCAAATATCACAAAGATGCATCTTGGAAGCCTAAAGATAAAATTAGGGCTCCTAAATTATTTCAAATATTTGCGTAATACACTACAAATAATGTCGTAAATAGAGGAGAAAACTAGTGTTTTACATCATATTTTATACTTTACAAAATCATTATTCAAATATCGCCTCATATTTCTAACTTAATAACTTATACATTAATTATTAATTATTCCATGTAAATTAACAGTTCGCTATTTTATGAAATTCATCATCATCATCATTCATTATTTTTTATTATAATGAGGTAATTTCTAAAACTTTTCCTTCTTAAATTCCATTTTTAAAATCTACTACAGTATTCAAAGCTCTCACAAGAAAAAAATGTTTCTTTACCTTTAGATATTGAATAGAACAATCCCAGTGAACTAGTCTTTACTCCGAAAAAACGTTCAATTGTAAGTTCCAAATTCCTAAAAGAAAAAAAAATGTGAACTGTTAATTATTTGATAAATGAAACAGTTAAAATAAAAAATAAATTTCCTGAATATCATAACGAAAATTTCTCCTCATGAAACAAATTTTTTGCACGCACCACTAAATACTTTCCCACAATTTGCACTTTTCAATGCACTTTCACAATAATTTCATCAATGACTACACTATGCACTTGTATTACGTAACGAAGAAAGCGTTAAACATTACGCACGTATAAGCTCTTTAATAGAAGCAAACTGATTTAGAATAAGATATAGGTAAATATAAACTTTTTTTAAAACTAACAAAAAAAATTATTAATTTCTATCCAGAGGTAGCTATCTAAGTTAAATATTAATTCCTAATATTTAATGCATCCTATGCATGTCTCTAATGGAAAAGACGAAATTGTCTGCTGTTCTCTTATTATGCTCCTTTATCTTTATTAAAGCATACATATTACATTAGCATACATACATACAATTTTATGTCATCCATGAACATCAGCAAGAAGTCAAATGACTATGTTATGCGCAATGTTAATCCTTTTATATCAGAGCTCCGTAAAATTCTAAGATATGAAAGTGGAATTCTGAGAAAAAAAGTCTATTAAGCTAGAGTGCAAAAGTCCATTTAGCGAAACGCTTCTAAATTAATAAATAAAATGATTAAAAAATTAATTAATATTAACCAATAAATAGTGTGATTAAAACAAAGTGAATTTTATTTTATGTATTATACATAATGTAATTTATAATTAGTAGTACTCCTGAAATACATACCGTAATAAATGATCCAAAAAATCTACTTTAAATTTTGGAAAAGCACGCTGCTGGCTTTCGCAAGACAAATACTTAGTATCCGTAATGTGTCCAAAATATCCACTGCGAACGCGTCCACTTTTGAATATATGATTCTTTTCAATAGCGTGAATCAGTTCCTGGATGAGGTAGTTGTGTTATCTTGAACTGGTAAACAAGCGATTAGGAATACGAAGATCTGTTAAACTAGGATATGTGCATATCCCAGTAATGTTAGTTTAATAGGCCGTCACATCCTTAATCGCTTGTTTACCAGTTCACGATAACACAACTACCTCATCAAGGAACTGATTCACGCTATTGAAAAGAATCATATATTCAAAAGTGGACGCGTTCGCAGTGGATATTTTGGACACATTACGGATACTAAGTATTTGTCTTGCGAAAGCCAGCAGCGTGCTTTTCCAAAATTTAAAGTAGATTTTTTGGATCATTTATTACGGTATGTAATTCAGGAGTACTAATTATAAATTACATTATGTATAATACATAAAATAAAATTCACTTTGTTTTAATCACACTATTTATTGGTTAATATTAATTAATTTTTTTAATCATTTTATTTATTAATTTAGAAGCGTTTCGCTAAATGGACTTTTGCACTCTAGCTTAATAGACTTTTTTTCTCAGAATTCCACTTTCATATCTTAGAATTTTACGGAGCTCTGATATAAAAGGATTAACATTGCGCATAACATAGTCATTTGACTTCTTGCTGATGTTCATGGATGACATAAAATTGTATGTATGTATGCTAATGTAATATGTATGCTTTAATGATAAAAGGAGCATAATAAGAGAACAGCAGACAATTTCGTCTTTTCCATTAGAGACATGCATAGGATGCATTAAATATTAGGAATTAATATTTAACTTAGATAGCTACCTCTGGATAGAAATTAATAATTTTTTTTGTTAGTTTTAAAAAAAGTTTATATTTACCTATATCTTATTCTAAATCAGTTTGCTTCTATTAAAGAGCTTATACGTGCGTAATGTTTAACGCTTTCTTCGTTACGTAATACAAGTGCATAGTGTAGTCATTGAAATTATTGTGAAAGTGCATTGAAAGTGCAAATTGTGGGAAAGTATTTAGTGGTGCGTGCAAAAATTTGTTTCATGAGGAGAAATTTTCGTTATGATATTCAGGAAATTTATTTTTTATTTTAACTGTTTCATTTATCAAATAATTAACAGTTCACATTTTTTTTCTTTTAGGAATTTGGAACTTACAATTGAACGTTTTTCGGAGTAAAGACTAGTTCACTGGGATTGTTCTATTCAATATCTAAAGGTAAAGAAACATTTTTTTTCTTGTGAGAGCTTTGAATACTGGTAGATTTTAAAAATGGAATTTAAGAAGGAAAAGTTTTAGAAATTACCTCATTATAATAAAAAAATAATGAAGATGATGAAAATTTCATAAATAGCGAACTGTTAATTTACATGGAATAATTAATAATTAATGTATAAGTTATTAAGCTAGAAATATGAGGCGATATTTGAATAATGATTTTGTAAAGTATAAAATATGATGTAAAACACTAGTTTTCTCCTCTATTTACGACATTATTTGTAGTGTATTACGCAAATATTTGAAATAATTTAGGAGCCCTAATTTTATCTTTAGGCTTCCAAGATGTATCTTTGTGATATTTGCAAGAAAACATTTGGAGCTAAGCGAATTTTAGTGCGACACAAGAAAACACATGACACAAAATCTGTCCCTTGTGCAGAATGCGATGCCTTGTTTCACAGAAATAGCCATCGCGTTCATCATATGGCGACTGTACATGGTGATAGTAAACTATTTTCCTGTAATAAATGCGGAAAGTTATTTTCTAGAAAGGATAATTGTAAACAAGCATCAGAAATCCATGCGTTCCTTATAAGCAAGTGGAAGGGCTGGTGACCGTAGATTCGTTGAAACGTTAAAGGCTCAAGTCTGACAGTGAAATTGGAAATCCGTGCAATTTCACTAAAGCTCTGAATGATACTTTAGTTGGTCATCGGATAAATGTGAAGGATAATGAAAACAGGAGTGTAAATATTTTTCTACAAAATTCAATAGATGAAGTAGAGCAGATTTTACTTTCTGAAAGAGAGGAAAAAATTAGCATTAAATGGTATGCGGCACTTGAAGCACGTTTTCAGAGACGAATCTCCATCAACGAATTTGAATACTGCATCTCATTTTTTAGAAGTGATTGCTTTTTAGCCAGAATTTGAAGTCTACCGAAGCAATCTTAATGAATTCAGGAAGTAATCTATGGTGAAGGTTTATGTCAAGCTTTGAAAGAAAAGGAAGTGGATGGGTACTGAATTCCATAATCTTTTTAATTGTTAAAAAAATGTCGCTAAATTTCAGCCGCTTTCTGCATCTAGTTATATACCCCACACCTTAGAGAAATTTAATTAAGGGAGCTGTTATTAATGTTAAAAATAATGATCAAAAATTGCTTTTTATGGTCCATTTTAGCAGCAATTCATCCTTTACCTCACACCTTCAAATGCTGAACGTATTTTTCAACAGTATGAACAGTATATGTAGGAGCTGACAGTTTGATGGGCTTGAATTTCCCATTGCCTCTGCATCAAATTGAAAAATTTGAAAGAATGAATGGTATATCTGTCAATGTGTTCGGTTTTGAAAAAGAAGTTTTCCCATTGCATATTACAAAAAAGTGAACAGCATTCATGTGAACCTTCTGCTTTTGACTTTTGAGGAATGAAAAAGGCATTATTGCTACATAAAAAATATTAGTAGGCTTTTAAGTTCCCTGACGAAGTTTCATAATGGAGTTGCCTTTTATTGTCCCTACTGTTTGCATCGGTTTTCGAAGCAAAATATTTTGACTGTCTCATATACACAAAATTGTCAAACTCATGGCCTTCACAGAAAATCGTTATGCTTCAGAAGAAGAAAAATGGTTGCAGTTTGAAAAGTATGAATTTCAATTGAAAATACCTTTTGTCATATACGCGGATTTTGAATCGTTTCATCGTTAAAGCCAACATCATGTATAAATGACCATAACACTTCTCATTCATTAATTATGTCTCATCATATTCCATGTGGGTATTGCTATGTTGTTATAGGCCCTGATGGAAGAACGTTCAAAAGAGCCTGTAGTTTACAGAGGAGATGATGTTGTTGGATCACTTCCTTCAAGACATGCTTAAAGAAGAGCAATTAATAAGTGATATTTTAAATAATAAAAGACCAATGGAGATATCTTTCGAGGAGGAAGAAGTTCTTTTTCAGCAAACTAAATTTTGTCACATATGTAAAAAGACTTTAGGCAAAGAACGTGTTCGAGATCATGACCACATTACGGGCAAGTATCGCGGAGCAGCGAACAGAAGATGTAATCTGAATTTTAAACTCTCTAAAAAAATTCCAGTTATTTTTCATGGCATAAAGAATTAATATGGACATCTAATCATGCAAGGACTTGGTAAAATAAAGCATAAAAAATCAACTGCATTGCACAAAATATGAAGCAATATGTTACATTTTTTTTTCTATGGGAAAACTACAGTTTCTGGATTCTTTCCAGTTTATGTCCACATCACTGGAAAAACTGGCTGAAAATCTTGAAAATGAACAATTTCATATCCTGAAAGATCACAGCAAAGACAGTAAGGAAATAAGCCTTTTGTTGCGAAAAGGTGTTTATCCATACAATTACATCGATTGTCATGAAAAATTTGAGGAAGAAAAGCTACCTCACCGTGATGCTTTTTTCAACGATTCTAACAAATGAAATACTTTCAAAGAAAGTGATTATGATCACGCTCAAAATGTGTGGAAAACGTTTGATCTTAAAAATTTAGGAAGAATATCATGATTTAAGTATATGAACGCATGTACTGTTGCTTGCCTGTAATTTTCGAAAACTTTAGAAATCTTTGCTTGAATTATTATGAGATCGACCCTTGTCATGTCTATACAGCGCCTGGATTAGCTTGGCAAGCTTGCTTTTAAAGGATGGACTGGAAGTTAAATTAGAACTTTTAACTGATCCAGATATGCATTTATTTTTTGAAAAACTCCTTTGCGTGGTGGCGTAAGTGTTATTGTTAATCGTTTCAATAAGTAAAGCCAACAATAAAATGGAACAACTTGTGAAAATTCAACAATATTGGAACTAGAGGAATTGACTCTAGAGATACATATATATACTTAGACGCTAATAATTTATATGGTTGGGGCCATGGGGGGGGGTTCAACCTCACTTTCCAACCTGTGTCCAAATTTCGATGGTTATCTGAAGAGGAAAGTAAAATTATTTAAAGTTGATGATATTGATGATAATGGAAAATATGGTTATCTATTAGAAGTAGATAGATTTGGGATATACCCAAAGCAACTTCATGAGCTGTACATAGTGATTATCCTCTAGCTCCGGAAAAATTACAAATCAATCCTGATATACTTTCATCTTATTGCAAAAAGATGCTTGAAAGTCGGAATGGATTATTTTCCTGGAAATGTTATGAAACTTGTTCCTAACTTATATGATAAGAAAATGTATGTACTGCATTCAAAAAATCTGGAAACAATATGTTAATTTGGGAATGGATTTGAAAAAAATTCATCGAGTTATTTGAATTCAAGCAAGAACACATGGATGAAACCGTATATAGAATTCAACACAGAACAACGTAAACTAGCTAAAAACGATTTCGAGAAAGACTTTTCAAATTAATGAACAATTCTGTGCTTGGGAAGACGATAGAAAATTTGAGAAATCGTGTTGATACACGATTGGTAAATAATGAAAAATTCTTGAAAAAACTTGTAGCATCTCCCGCGTTTAAAGGTTTTACGATTTTTAATGATGATTTTGCAGCAGTAACTATGAAGAAAACATCTCTTAAATTAAATCGACCCATATACGTTGGATGTTCCGTACTATCTATTAGTAAGACTCTTATGTACAGTTTTCATTATGATTTCATAAAGATAAAATATGGTAAAAATGCTAAATTACTTTTTCTGACACAGAATCTTTACAGAAATTAAAAAGCTATGAAATTATGCAGACATGCTTAAAAATGAAGATTATTTTGATTTATCTAATTTTCCTAAGACGCACTTTGCATATTCCTCTAAGAATAAAAAAGCGTTAGGAAAGATGAAAGATGAATTCTCAGGTGTTCCTGCCATTGAATTTATAGGATTGAGAGCAAAAATGTATAGTCTCATATCTGCTAAAGAAGAGAAAAAAACTGCCAAAGGCATATCTAGATGTATTGTGAAAAATGCACTCTCACATGATGATTATAAACATTGTTTGTTTAGTAATGAGCAGTCAAAAGTGACAATGAATAAAATTGCATCAAAACATCATAAAATTAGTACTGTGGAAATGAGAAAAGTTGGCTTAAGTGCATGTGATGATAAAAGATATATACTCTCAAATGGTTTCGATACTTTAGCTCACGGTCATTTCAGAAATAAAGAAACTGAAGAATTAACGAAGTAAATAATAAATACAGCATTAAATACATTGGGTGGGAGGTGGGATGAAGTGCAACTACAAGGGACGTCCGGTATCCTATACTGTCATTGCATTTTCCCTGACATGATATAGGCTCTACCACGTGCACATCGGTAACAAGGTGTGGGAACCTTGGCTAACTACCTCGCTAATTTTAAAAGTAAATAGAACTAGCACAATCCATTTATATCAAACGTATGAGTAGCAAGTAACTCAAATAAAATTTTAAAATAGAAATGAATTTGAATATTAATACAAACGAATTAGAAATGTTGCACATGTAAATATTTAAATAAAAAAATAAAAAAAAAAAAAGACAAATAAGAATGAAAAGCACGAAAGTAAACTTATTATAAGAAAAAAATATGAAAATAAACTTTTTGAAGGGGGACTGAAATATTAAAAGACTTAGAAAGTAAACAAAAAATAATAATGCTTAGTAAAAAGATTTGAAAAAGTATGTAACATTATTTAAAAGGTAATTTAATACAGAAATTTTAAGTTATGATTGTTTTAAATTATTGTAGATTTTTTTAAAATATTCTATCTCTATAATGTAAAAATTGATCAAGTTAATGACTTGAAATGTGGTATATAAAATATTTCCTCGCTAAACACAAAGTAGAGCGCTTTATCGTTACATTTTCAGCTTGTTCAAAAAGTCGCAAATAGTCCTTCCTGCCGATGCTACAGTGTAGAAACAATCAGGTTTTTAGGGGGATGCTATGCAAAAATCGGTTTTCGAGGGGTGCTATGTTAAAAGGGTGAGAAACTCTGAACCGACTTA